CAATAAAAAAATGAGATTGATTCTAATAAATTAAAAATTAAACAACCAGTTTCAGAGAAGACATGGCAAAGACGTGGCAGCAAAAGAAACCAATATTAGTTTTGCTTCTGAAGAGACCTGGCAGCAAAAAAAAAAGGCCAATTATATCAGGGAAGTTACGTAACTTATGTCTCTACGTGGCAGCAAAAAAATGGAGGGAAAGGTTGAAGTTGGAAAAAGAGAGAAAATAAGATTATTCTGCCGAGAGAAGAGAGAGCAGAAGAAGGAGAAGAAGAAGAAGAGAGAAAAAGAGAGAGAAAAGAAGGGAGAGGAAGATCTGAAGAAGAGAGAAGGAGAAAAGAAGAGAGAGAAAAGAAGGGAGAGAAGAAGATCTGAAGAAGAGAGAAGAAGGAGAGAAGAAGGAGAAGCCGAGAAGGACTTACCTGGAATCGCTGCAATCGCAAACTTCCTCTGTTGGCAGAATTTTGCTTCAAAGTTTCTCAGCCCTAGCCCCCCCTCCTCTTTGATTGACTTTTACACTTTCCTTTTTGCTTCTTCGATTCACTTTTACACATTCCTTTTTGCTTCTTCAATTCACTTTTACACTTTCCTTTTTGCTTTTGCTTTTATTTTATTTTATTTCTTTCTGTAAAGTTGCTAAAACAGTAATAATAAACAAATAATAAATAATAAACAAATCATAAGTAATAAACAAATAGGCAAATGGTAACAAATAAAAGGAGGCGCGCCTTTTCTACGCCTGGGGCCTCTCCGCCTCTTCCGTAAAGGCGCTCGCCTGTTCAAAGACCATCGCTTGTGGCCTACATAGGCGCATGACTTGCGCCTGTAGGCGCGGCCTTTGGCGCTTTTGACAACTATGCAGAGGGATTTTCTTTGGGGTGGAAGGGGAGAGGAATTTAAGTATCATCTTGTTAATTGGGATCATGTCTGCCAACCGTTGAGGTTAGGCGGGCTAGGCATTCGAAAAATCGTTCCTTTTAATCGTGCTCTCTTGGGAGAATGGTTATGGAGATTCGAAAAGGAACGCCATCGTCAATGGAGAAGAGTTGTCTCGTGTCGTTTTGGTGAGGGGAGTGGGGGCTGGTCATCTCTTCCAGTCACTATTACTGGAGGTGTTGGTGTGTGGAAATCCATTCGGAAGGGTTGGGATGTTTTCTCCATACACATTAGATTCAAAGTTCGTGATGGCAGACATGTCCGTTTTTGGGATGACCTTTGGTGCGGAGATTAATTGCTGTCTCACTCCTTTCCTAGACTTTACAGTATTGCAGCCAATAAGCATGTCTACGTGATTGATTGTTATCAACTTGATAACAATGGAGTTACGTGGGATGTGCGGTTTAGGCGCCCTTTTCAGGATTGGGAAATGGAAGAAGCTTGTGGATTTTTGGATACGTTGTATAGGCAGAAGGATATTGGCAGAGGGTGTGATGATATTTTATTGGTTCCTCTAGCTCATGGTAGGTCTGGTGTTCGATCCATGTTCTTGTGTTTGTCCAATTTTGTTGGTCACGAGTTTCCTTGGAAGTCTGTTTGGCGTTCTAAAGGTGTGATGATATTTTATTGGTTCCTTTAGCTCATGGTAAGTCTGGTGTCCGATCCATGTTCTTGTGTTTGTCCAATTTTGTTGGTCACGAGTTTCCTTGGAAGTCTGTTTGGCGTTCTAAAGCTCCTCTTTGAATCGCATTCTTTGTTTGGACTGCCATATTGGGAAAGATTTTGACATTGGACAATTTGAGAAAGAGACAACATCATTGTTAATTGGTGTTGTTTATGTAAAGCTGATAGTGAATCCGTGTATCATATTCTTTTGCATTGTCCTGTGGCGTATGATTGTTGGAGTTTTATTTTTTGCATGTTTGGCATTTTTTGGGTAATGCCTAAGCACTCCTCACAGTGGATTAACGCTTGCAGAAGGTGCCCTGTTAAAGAACAAGCTCGTGATTATTGGAGAATTGTTCCACATTGTGTCTGGTGGTGTTTGTGGAGTGAGAGAAATAACAGATCCTTTGAAGGAAAAGAATCGTCTTTAGCTAATTTAAAAAATCATATTCTTCCTTCTTTATTCTGTTATGTAAGAGAAAATGCATACTCCTCGATTGATGATTTCTTTGATCTTTTGGATTCTATTGGTCCTTGGATCTTTTTCTTTTTGTATTAGGGACGCGTTCCCCTTTTGAACGCTTTATATTTTTACTTATAAAAAAAAAAATGATTTTAACAATTAATAAATATCTGATACATCCATGTTTCTCCTTTGTGTACTTGTATCCCCTTTACAGTTGTCTACTTGCTCAGCTTTAAATATTTCCTAAATGTTTAGATTTCATTAACAATTAGGTTGCAGTTTGTAATGGCGTACATTATGGACAAGACAAAAGAAACAATACCCTATGAGAAATTGCATTGTTTGTCATCATAAAATATTAGTGTATGACCCCTAGTCTTCCCCTCTGGCAGAACAAACTTTAATTTTTGGAAGTCTTTTTTTTTTTTGATAAGTAAATTTTTGGTATTCTTCTTACAATTTTCTGCTATGCTTATGCCAACTTTTTTGTCAAAACAGCTTGATTTGATTTAGATGTTTTGATGGTTTCCCATGCAGCCCTATATTCCTTTTCTAAGCGTCAATCAGATGCCTGTTGTCACATATTTTTTATTTATTTATAATCTTGCACCCAGATAGTGTTATTAGAAAATGCAGGTTCTTAGGCGTTATGTGATCTAGATCACACAACCCAAAAACAGTATATTTCTGTTCTAGAATTTATACTTGGTGATACAGAATGTCTCCCAACATTTCCTTCCTTTAACTTTTCTCCTTTTTGTAAGGTATTTAATCATTAATAATGAAATTCTATGAGTTAGAACTTATTGTTAGAAAATTCTATGCATTAGAATTTTGAGAAAGTGATATCTGATGTAATGGAAAGAACCATACTCATCAAGTTAACAGGCTTATGAAATGAATAAAATCATCTCCATTTAGAAGAAAACTAGTCTTGTATTTCAAACCCGGTTATTACATTCTAACTTTCAATCAAGCAATTTAAAGAAGCCTATCCCCATGGTACCATGTTCTGGAGTAGCCGCTTCTGTTCTGCATACCTTGCACGACCCGTTTTAGGCGACATTGCTAGTACTCCTTTTCCGACATTTGAGGGACTACTACAATCCATAAAGGAACTTAATTGAGAATCTTCATAATTGATTTTGCATCTTGTAGTAGGAAAAAAGTTGTTAGGATTAGAATATCAGACATGATAGTCTTCTTGAATGTGATTCTCTTTGATAATGCAAAAATTTTCTAGATCTTTATTGTGTGGCTTATCTACCTAAGGTACATTTAATATGAAGATATCCTATCAAGTTTAAACTATTTAACCAATGGGCTCTAGCCTAGATGGTATAAGCTCTCCCCCATCTTTTTGGGGGTGGGGGTTGAAAAAAGTTTAAACTATTTAATTTGATTTTTTTTTTTTTCAAAAATGTTTGATGTAACAACATGGCTATAAAAATGAATAAAGTTTGTTTCCCAATGCGTGATTTTCTTTCTTGGAAATTTACCTGAATTCTTATTGAACTTTTTATATTCGTAAGCCAAAGCCATTCGGTACTGCATATAGTGCTGGCATTGCATCTGACATGGAGGAACAAGGTCAGGGGTTTGGTTCCTTCTTAATCAAAAAGGCTTTTTGTTTTCGTAAGATTCCTGACTTTTTCTACACATACTGTTTCCTCCTCCTGTTTTCGGAACTGTTCTCAAAATTCAATGTAATAATGTTGATGATTATGGTTGAAGCTCAACTCTAGAATTGAAGCTTTGATTTCTAGATATTTTTTTTTTTTTTTTTTTTTCCTAATTGGTACTAACACACACATGCCTCCACTGAGGCTTGAACCCCTGACCTCCCTTTGGGAAGTAAGTACCTGATACCGCTAGGCCATTGGCCCGTTGGTTATGACTTGTAGCATACTTCCTACTCAAAATAAGCCCTAATCTCCGATGTTACTTTGAACTTTGATTATCTTATTCTAAAATTTACATGCATGCGAATGTGAGTTTGAGTATGAGAATAGCCACTTTGTGCAAAATAATGTCAAAGATTAGGTCCGTTTCTAGTCTTCCCCTCCCAGCATCTCGCATAGGTGGCCAGCAAAGGGTAATGGACTTTGAATATGACAATTTTTACCTTGAAACAAGTTTGTATTGTTTAAGCATTGTGGTAAAATCAGATGGTAGATAATTCAGTGGTTTGCCTGAGTTTATTTGCATGTGTTTTTATAACTTATAGCCATGGCTGTTGATTTATATAATGAAAAATTTGTTGTTTAAGTGCACTAGTTGAAGATTACCAATGTGCCTTTTGTTGGAGAATTTCTACATCCACAAATCCGGGATATGCAAAAACTTGATTGACTGAGACCCATAGCAATTTTAGGGTTTTAGCGTGTCTAAAATTTCCTCGGATGACACTGAATTTCTGCGAGGCAATATATATATCATCTCATGCAAGTGATATGTTTTTCACTTGTAATGATATAATGCATCATTAATTTTTTTTGTTGGATATGACGTAAATTAGTAAATTTATAAGTGGTTGGGTATCATTGATGTTTGTGGTGGCCTATGGAAAGTTCGTAAGGTGTTAGGTGGGTTTTTTTTTTCCAGCCATACTCTGGCACTGCATTGGATAAAGATTTTGCATGCTTGCATTATGTTTTACTCTCTTTACCCTAGAGTAGTCTACTCAAGTCAAGTATGATGAAGCATTTTTAAATAGCAAAAAGTCACATAACACCTAATATGCTTTTAATTTTTTCCTTCATAATTTTTATTCTAAACTTTACATGGATTGCCGACTTCTTTGATCACCTCACACATGCTATTCTTTGTGCAGTATGGTCCATGTTCATAAACCACTTCTTACTTATAGAAGTACATTGTTGTAATGATGGGTCCTTTCCATCACATCCGTTCACAGTCGATCCTTCTTTAATGCAGTTATAATCTGATGCATTTTTACAGGAACAAGTAATGGATCAATATTCTGGCCAAGTATTTGGCACTTTTAATTGAAATATATAAATGGCTGGATGAACAATTACCCCAATTTTGTAGCTTTTGCTGGTGTTTCATAGTTTTGTTCATGTGGCTGGCAAAGTTGGAGATGGACTGGTGCATGCAAGTCCTCTCTGATGCTCAAACTGTTTGAAATAAGGGATTTTTTGTTTGCTCCATTTGCATCCCTTGTTCCATAAACCTGGAAGCAAAATGTTTTTGTGAGGGTGCCAACCAAGTACATTTTGGCATAGGTTTAATGATTGCAAGAGCTTTTTGTTTTTGTAGTATAATTAAAGTAATTGTTAATTGTCTTGCACCTTTACCTTTTTATGTAGTTCCAAATTTTCTTGACGAATTAGGTTTACCTTCTTATTCAGTTCCATATTTTGTTGGTGAATGAGGTTTCCCTGCAACAAAGCCAATAAAATTAAGTCAGTTGAACTGAAATTATTTTCTCAAGGAGAAAGAGAGAGAGAGAGAGAGAGTGAGTCAGTGGCCATAGTTTCAAGTTGACCTTTCGGTTTAGTTCTTGTATTTCATCAAATAAAATTTGGTCCTGTAGAGTTCAAAAAAGAAATATGTTGAGGATTCTCAATGTGCTGGAGACTGGAGTACAGGGAGGTAATAGGATATGAATTGCTACAAGATATGAGTTTCAAACCTTTGTCGTGCGGACACCCCGAAGGCTCATTTCCAGCTGGTTCTCCAAATTCTGTAAATCTTTGACATTCAAACCAGAAAGCTCTTCGCCCATTATTCTCCTGTCATTGTCAAATGTATTGATGTAATCCTTGGGAAGCTCAAGAAAATGCAAATCTAATAGTGAAGCTTATGAAATTTACTCAATGTACTCTTGAAATAAAGATTTAGTATGAGTCAAACATAACTTAAGTTTCTCTGGTTTGTTTGCTGCTAATTTAATTTCATCTATATTTTCTTATTCTTTGGAGTTTGGAGTCGAGTGTAAGCAATTCAGATATGGGCTATAGTAGGGTCATTTTCATCTATATTTTCTTATTCTTTGGAGTTTGGAGTCAAGTGTAAGCAATTCAGATATGGGCTATATAGTAGGGTCGTTGGTTTCACTGGTCAAAGCTGTAAAGATCCTTAATATGGTGTTAAAGCCTTATAAAAACTAAAAATACTTATGATTCTGTATCACCAATTAATGCTTTCAATTCAAAGAGAACAGCTTAAATTTTTTAGAAACTTCTGAAACTCTTTTGGGAATGGGGAGAGTTTCCGGTTCTTTCATCCCCTCTCTTTATTAGAGCATCTGGGCATAGATATGATAGATGTGCTTTGAATAGCATAATTTAGTACCCAACAAGCAAGGCAATGCCTTCTTCGAAGCGGAGGTAGTTTTTCTCATGAATCTCTGGTTAGCTATGTGAATGGAAAAGGAATCATATCTGTAACCATCACCTTGGTTTGTGATGCTTCAGAATCCTATGAGTGATTCCCAGATACTTTTTCTTCTTCTTTTCTTTATTTTTCTGTACTTTTTATACCACCAGAGATAGATAAGACCATGTTATTCACCTTCATCTAATTACTTTGGCAAGCCCAACCCCTTCCCTCCATCAAGTATTTAACCTTAGCAATCAAAATTCTACAAAAAATAATAAAGTCACTGTCCATGGGTACGTTTCACAGCATCCTGAAAAGCGCTCGTCAGCCCTGAGACCCTTGCCCTTTTTCTATAGATTCTGCAAATAGCACAATATTCCCACAAGCCTTTTAACCACAAAACCAATAATAAGCAGACCTAGTAGATTCTGCTTGCTACAACAAATGTTAGTTGTGGTAGCTATTGGTTATATGACTCGTGTTGGCTATTTCCTCCTCAAAACATGGGTTGTAGTGTGGGAAAGTGTTGGCCAGTCGTCTACCACCATTGAAGAAATTGTAGATAAAGTTTTGCTCAAGGACATAGCATAGAATTCGCAAGGCCCAATCACATATGTAGGGTACGATACCATAGAAGACCTGAGTTGGCTAGATTTGATCTTGGTTTGGCACAAAATAGTTTTCTAAACTTGGTTCTCAAAGTCAAGAATTTTTAAAATGATGTTTCTTGAAGAGTTTTTAAGTTTTATAGATGAGCAAAATATATTGTTTGATAGGTCGATCGATTGAGGGTTGTTTAGTAATCCTCAGCTGATGGGTGGATCAATCGAAGTTTCTCCAGAATTTTGTTTTGAAATCCAGTAAGCCTTGATCGGAGGCTCGATTGATGGCTCGATCGATCCTTGCAAAAGCTTCTTTTTGGTAAGTCTCTCAGATCTCCTATATTAGCATAAATATGAAGTTATAGTGGTTTAAAAAAAAAGGGATTTGACCTCTAGCCATTTTAGAGAGAGAATCCTTATGTTAGAGAGAAAAGTCCTTGTTTTTTCCAATAGATTGTCAAATATTGAACAATCCATGGAGAAGCAAATTGCATGAGGAGCAAATCTATTGGAACAGAGAACCTGGAGATTCAAGTGGACAGTTTGGTGTATCTGTGTCAAGAGATAACTAGGGATTCTAGGGTGGGGATCTGGTAACATGGTTGTACTCTCTTTTTGTCATGGTGGAAAGTTCATGGCTAGACTAGGTTTCGTGGTTTTTCCTGCTTAGGATTTTTTACATAAAAATCTTGTGTCTCTGCTTGCGCTGTTTCATATTTATGATTTAATTTGATTGTGTGGATGCCACTATAGAGTCCCACAATATTCCTTACTTGATTGGATTAGAAACTTGTTGGAGAAGGGCTGATCCAATCCACATTATCAGGCTGGAGATATTAGCAAAAAGGGCAGATAGAGTTTTAAGATTTTAAAGGAAGGGACAATCTTGCTGTGTTCTACTGTTGGCTTAGTATCATTGAGGAGTATTTTGGTTGGTGCGATAGGTAGGATAGATGATTGGACAATGAGGTTTCCAAGATAAAATTTGTATGCATGAAATAAGTGTGATGCTTACCACTGGGTCATTCGCTCAGATGGTATAACCTCTCCTCCCAAAAGTGGAGGTGAGGGGTTATGGGATGAAATTGTGTGGGTGAATGTGAGTAGTTGACCTAACCCAAAAAAGGAAAAAATAAATGTGGTGCTTTGGTGTTCAAGGAGATTGGACAGCCACCGATAAGCACATCATAAGAGATGAAACTAGATCTCGGGAGAAGTATATGCTTTTAAATTTCTTGATATATTATGCATACTACTTGTTGGTATGAAATGGAACATCTGGTGATGAAGTGTATCCAAAAAGTTGATCGACTTTATGTTTAGATGTTGAAGATCCCTTCCAAACACCCGCTCGGTTTAAGATTGGTTTGATTGATTGCTTGAACTTACACATCGCGAAGCATGCATCCCAAATAGTTCAATGATGCAAACCATGGTACAAAGCAGCAACCTTGTAAGTTGCAACCATCAATCCATCAAATAAGCTTTGGAGTTAGAATTGAACGTAAACGTTGCAAATTGGTTGAGTTATTGAGAAATAACCTATTTTAGTTGACACCACACAAATATCTCAACCTCCCCTATATATCTTCTTAGGGAAGACAACTAGTTGTCTGGAGATATGGTAAAGGTGGTACAAGTGCTTAATTGTATTTGAGGCTTGACATTAAAACAATGGAGTCATAGAGTTATGAGATTAGGTTTCAATGTTGCTGACATTGGTGGTGGCTTGGTTATTGTATTGGAAGCATGCAATGGTTCTCAATTCTCAATGATGTGGTAAAGGTGCTTCACACTATTCATGGCTTTTGCAGAAGAGTCAAGTGTTGGGCTTCCTGTCCTGAGTTTGGATTCTCCGGGTTGACAATGCATGCCAGGAAACTAACATGATGACATAAAACTCATCGTCAGGCAAGTGCACCACTAGATAAAGAACTGAATAATAGTCTTGAGTTGACATGGTGAATCCCATTGAGAACCTATATGGAAGCGTTTGTCAACATGCTGGACTCTATCAGGAGCCTAGTATCTCATGGTGAACTGAATGGTTGATGTTGCTTTATGAAGGGGGTATTTGGAATCCCCAACATTATGGCAGGTCTCAGCTTGGTGATGGTTGGGTGTACCACTGTACATGAGTGTTAGATTGCATAATGTTACAGATTGTGGCACTTGCATCCCTTTCAGGTATTATGGCATTGGAGATGATGCTTGGGGGAAAGTTATGTGCAATTGTTTTGGAAGAAGAGAGTGCAGTTTGATGGATAGTATGAGATGGCATACTCAAGTTGTGTAGGGTAGTATGGGTTGGCTCATGTGATACAACTGTTTGCAAGTTAGAGCATTTTGTTGAGGAATTGGCAATGTTGTTGAGGTTGAGCCTTGAGGAGCTGGGCTCCTTAGATCTCCACAGCTGAAATTAGCCCCATGGATGGTGCCACGGAGGTGATGACTATTTTCTTTACATAGTTCTTCCTTCCTTGAGGTCAACCAGGGATTTGATCTTAAGAGGCTTTCTTTTATGTTTTAGCTTGTTGCATTTATTGGATTCAATACACCTCTTTGGATTGCCAGTTTGAATTTGGACCACTTTTTTTGGTTGCAGAATGCATGAGCAGGTTAAAAGTAACATTAGCTGCCAGTAGTCAGTTGCTTGACAAGCAAACTTCTTCTGATCTTCTTTTCTTGGTGGCTTGCACACCTCAAACTTAGTCATGGAATGGAGACATTGGTTTGACAAACTTTCTATGAATGAGTTAGTGAAGCTTATTGGTTCTGACAGATTTTGGGGTTAGATTAATGATTGTACAATCTGGTTTACCTGCATTGTTAAGATGCCTGCTGTTGGAGGTGGCTCCTACTGGAATGCCACTCAATTATAATTTTCCTCTGTTGGTAAGTAGGAGATTGTGTGCTTATGCCTCACGAGTAATTTTTGAGATCTAGTTAATAGTACTTTATAGATTTGTGTTACTCTTAGGAGACATGTATCTTGGTTGTTTTACTGATATTGTTGAGAGTAAAATTTGAAGGACAATGTCAATGTTATATGTGCAACTTGGGAGCAAGAATGAAGGCATTAGCGCAGTTGTTTCTTAACAAAGGCATGGGTTGATCTTCCATTGGGTCGACCATTGTTATGGAGTAGTTGTATAATTGTTCCACCTTATTTATTTATTTTTTTGTATTACATAGAAATTTTCAGTTAAATTTGGAAGGATTTCATCTTTGCATGGTGTTGCATTTCACCAAGGCAAGCTTGAAGTTTCTTTTACTAATTTCAAGATTTCAAATCCTTTGTCCACTTATCTACGTACTTTGATGTACGTTCATTTAATGCACTTTAATATACTTTTCTTTCCTGGTCATATTTCGTTTTGTCCGCTTTGCATATCACAGACTTAGAGAATTGACTTCAAAACTTAAAAATTATCAGCCATAATATAGCAAAATAACATGCGTCTTTGACCAACAATACAACATGAGTAAATCATATATAAAATGAAAGTACATTAAAAGGCTATGTAGCAAAAAAATGCGTTATACACATGTTTTTCTGCATATCCTGTAATTAAGCAAAGGTGGATTCATTTTTGTGGTTTTAAACTATTGCCTGAAACTTGGACATGGGTCTTCATGTTAGCAAGTATTTGTCTTCCCTAATCAAAAGGGAGAAATGTTTTATAAAATGATTCAGAATGATTCTAAATCCTTGATATTTTTAATCACATCACTAGCTTAATACTAATTAAAATAGCAAATTCATGTTGGGATGAAAAATATTTTACCGATGATCTTCTTGCAGATTCTGCAGCTGTAGCCTCAACATTGCTGCCTCCCTCTGCCAGAACTATTAAGGTACAAGAAGACAATCTTAGTAATGTACTCACATACTTATTATTAGCATGACCTAATAGTAATTATAAGCAAGTAGATCTAAGTAATAACCATGAAAATATTAGAATGGAATGAACAAAATTTTAATAAGATTTAGAGGAGGCATCTTTTGAAGATTTATGCTCTACCCACAGTTTGTGCTTTCCTTGTCATTTATAAAATCAAAAACTAACTAAAATGAACCATTGAAAGTAAAGATATAATTTTGTACTACATACAAAAGTAAAAGTTAAAATACGGAAAAAAAAAATGATATTTATAGATGTGATTTTGTACTTTTGCACTCGTTCCTAGAGTTCTCCTTGAAAATTTAATTTAGCACTTACATATCTTTATGTTGGTTTCATCAATTGAAACATTATCTTAAAAAATAATAATAATAAGGCATTTACCATGGTCTCATTCCAATTTTTTTTGCCAGTTCAACATAATTAAAGCAAAACGGTAGAGGTTTAATATAGATTCTTGATGTATGTTAAAAATTGTAATATCAGTAATTATATACACACACACACACAGTAAATATGTTTATAATTAAGGTATCATATATATACATGTGTAGATGAGCAGAGAAAGTGTTTAATTTCAAATTTAATTTTAGAAACTCTCAACAACTTGAAGGATAAATAGAATAATAATGAAGAATGAAAATTTCAATTTTGAAGTGGGGAAACAATCAATGGAATGTGGTCCAGATAACAAACACATTAACACGATTCTCTCTAACTAAACACCTTTTTTTCTCTAACAGAAATAATTAGGTTGCTATAAAACTACAACTAGACTAGACTTCAATTAAGCGGATATTTCTTATTCAATTTGTTATTAAATAGAACATTCATAAACTGAGAAACAATAGTGTTTTGTGTAGAATGAATTACAGAAAAAGAATGAGAACTTGGGAAGGAGATAATGTCACAACTAGACTTCAATTAAGCGAATGTTTCTTATTAAATAGAACGTTCATTAACTGAGAAACAATAGTGTTTTGTATAGAAAGAATTACAGAGAAAAAATGAGAACTTGGGAAGGAGATATTGTCAGAGAGTGATTATATTGGAAAATTAACAGTCTAAGTAGAACTCTTAATTTTGATTTTTGATTGTATAGTATTTGAGGCTAAAATGGTCAGTATGTTTTGAGATAAAAACCATGGAAATAATCCTGATTAAACTCGTGGCCACTTCTGAATTTGATTACATCCTATAGAATTACGATTAAAATGTAGGCACATATATCCTATTTAAATCGATACAAATCGTAGCATATATATGTTATATCTCTTGCGGTGTCGTAGCTTGCGTTGTAAATAGGTGAAAATATATGTACCATTGCTATGACATACGCATGTATACATGAATTGTGCAATTACATTTAAGCCTAAACAATTGTTCCCCTTGCTGTTATTACATGAGAAGATGACAAATAAACCTTCTAATGTATTGAAGCATGTGAATATAGGTTTTGGTAATGCTTATACAGAATATATATTCATAAATACATTTTTTTTTTTTTTTTTTTGATAAGTAAGACATACATACATAATAGGTATATGATTTTAGAGAATTGTTGAGCTTGGAGAATAAGTTATATACCCATTGCCTTGAGAAGATTATATGTTTAAAGATAGACCCATGCGTCATATGACCGGACCCTTTATAGTGTCGAATTTAATTGGGTGCATTCTTGAAGAATTCTTGAGGAATTTTTGAGGATTTAGTTTCTATTCAAGAAATAGATTTAAACCCATGAACTAGATATATGTGTGTGTGCGCGCGTGTGTTTGTATGTGTATAGAGCTATAGGAAAGAACTCTAATTTTTAGAACACTAACAACCCATGAATCGGGATAAAATTATTGGATTTTTGGTATATTAGACTTGGATTGAAGAGTATATTAATAGCCCTATACTTAACCTTATATCTGAGCGTGAAACTGAAGTGGGTGAGCATGGCAGAGGGCAACCTTAGCTGAAAATTAGGGATTTGGGGTGTTCTGGTATGTTAAAAGGTGTATGTAACATGAAGTCTTTTACTTATAATGCTCTAATTTTAAGCAAAACTGAGTATTGATGCTAACATTATTGTTATTGCTTACTAAAGGAAAATGTAAGGAAGTGGTAGAGGTCGTCACATAAGAATTGAGATGTTTAGTAGATCAACACGCAATCCTACTGCGATGGAGAAATTTAAGATGGTTAGGGCTTTGAATGACACCGCGAAGACCTTAGAGAACAGGGTTTATCATGTTGGAGCTAGGATGAATGCTCTTGCTCGCCAGGAAGGAACTTGAGTAGGAGACCCAACACAATAGATAGGGTTGGAGTTGAGGTTCTAGTACCACATGAGGGACTTGGTATAAAGGCCTCAGTGCAGTAGGATGAAGTTAGCGTGGAGGCTCTAGTGCAGCAAGTATGTGCACTTGCACAGGGGAGCTAGGTCTATTTCAGACTTGATGAGGGATGCTAAACGGCTTAGTGTGGTATCGTTTAGTAGAGCAGTGGACCCTATGGAGGAATACCGATGGAACTTGGACTTGGGAAAGGCTTTTGTAGTGATGACTTGCACAAAGTCCAGATTTAGAAGCTAGCGATCATCTTTTTGTTTGGGGATTCTTATTATTGGTGGAATTCGGTATTCATAGGGAGGAGAATGTCGATATGACATGGCAAGCATTTAAGGGGATGTTCTACGAGAAGATTTTCGCCTGCGATCAAAGAGCAGAAGGCAGCTGAATTCTAGGGACTAGAGCAACGATCGATAACAGTTGGACAGTATGTGGCAAAGTTTTCTCAGCTCCATTTTGCTGTTTATCATTCTAAATGAGGTGAGGAAAGTGCGAGAGTTTGAGTAGGGATTAACCTTCTCTGTAACAAAATTGTTTGTGTCATTTCAACTCACTACTTACCTAGCTGTTGTGGAGCGAACTCTAGTAGTAGAGGACAATGAGATCTACCAACGATAAAAGAGCAAAGGTTGCAACAAAAAAGGGAAAGGTAGAGTCATTACTCAAATGTCTTAGATGAAATAGGGGGGCAGTCCCAGTTGGGTTACTTTTAGCAAGGCCAAAGGAGTCACCAAAGCTAGTTGGACCAGGGGATTTACCAGGGCAAAGGAGTTACGAGAGCTAGTAGGGTCAAGGAATTGAGGGAATAGTTATTGAAAGCTAGAGAAATAACAAAGATTGGGTGACTCTGAGTAGGCTGCAACCATTGCGCCAGGTGGACTGGCCCTCAACAAGCTGCAACCATTGTGCTAGGTGGATTGGCCCTCAGCAGGTTACAACCATTGTGCTAGGTGCACTGGCCAATAGGCGGAGCCTTATCAATTTATGGGGCACTGCTACAATTGCAGGGGACGATGACACATGGCCTTTGGATTCTAGTTATACTACAAAAGACAGTAAGGGTACCTTTCAATGCTGGATTTGGAGCTTGTTCCTCTGGCGCGAGTGCAAATACTTTGACCGCTCCTTGCTCCTGCTGTAGGTTTTGACGTTGCGGCTGATCATTGTTTGTGGCAATCTTTGGTCATGTGTCCTCCCCTTTGCAAATGTAGCAGTGCCCCAAAAATCAATTAGGCTTCACTTGCTGGGTAATCCATCGGCACAATGGCTGCAGCTTGCTCAAAGTCACTTGATCTCTGTCGTTTCTCTGGTCTCTGATAGTTATTCCCTCCATTCCTCCATTTATGATCCTACTAGCTCTGTTGTTCCCGGCCTTGTTAGCTTTGGTGACTGCTCTAGCCCTACTAAAAGTGACTCAATTAGGATTGGCTCCCTATTTCAGCTGGGACATTTGAGTAATGACTCTACCTTTTCTTTTTTGCAACCTTTGTTCTTGTACTTGGTAGGTTTCTGTCCTATACTACTAGAGCTCGCTCCATAACCGCTGGGTAAGTGGCGGGGCAGTGCGAGACAAATAATCTCGTATAAAGGAGGTCAATCCTTGCTCAGTAGGTCTCTGTCCTCTACTACTAGAGCTCGCTCCATAACCGCTGGGTAAGTGGCGAGGCAGTGTGAGACAACTAATCTCGTACAAAGGAGGTGAATCCTTGCTCAAACTTCCGCCCATGGCTCACCTCGTCTGGAATGATAGGGAGCAAAATAGGAGAGTTAAGAAAACTTTGCCTCATGATGTCCAACTATCATTGATCCCTACTTTTATCCCTGGAATTTAGCTGGCTTATGCTCTTTGACCACTGGGGGAAAATACTTCTCGTAGAACATCCTTGTAAATGCATGTCATGTCATATTGGCACTATCCTCCACAGGAGTAACCGAATTCCACCAACGATAAGCATCTCTAGACAAAAAGGTCTTTAGCCTTTGCATCTGGACCTTTGTGCAAGCCATCACTCCAAAAGCCTTTTCTAGGTCCAAGATCCATTAGTCATCCATAGGGCCCACTGTTTTACTAAACGATATCGCGCCAAGCAGTTTAACATCCCTAATCAACTTTGAGATGGACCTAGCTCCTTCCCCCACTGCAGGTGCACATACATGTTGCACTAGAGCTTCTCCACTCTAGCTCAATCGCGCTGCAATAGGGCCTCTGCACCAAGTCCCTCCTGTGGTGTTGGAACCTCGACTCTAACCCCCTCGTGTTGTGTTGGGTCTCTTATTTTAGCTCCTTCCTTGCAAGCTGGAGCATCCATCCTGGCTCCCACATGCTGGACTATGTTCTAAGGTCCTCATGGTTGCCACTCAAAAGCCTTAACCATCTCCAATATCTCCGTCGCACTAAGTTTGCGTGTTGATCTATGAGACGTCCTGACAACGTCTACCACTTCCTGACATTTTCCTTTAGTAGGCAATAACAACAGTGTTAGCCTGTTTTGCTTAAATCATAGCATTATAAGGAAAAGACAGTATGTTATATCTATTTGGCTATCACTAAAGTAACTGAAAATTCACTTATTTTCCTATAACTACTCTTAGTACAATCATAGTTGTACCATACATGTCCTTTATCTTTGTATAACTCCTTTCTTTTCTAAAAGCCATTATATTCTTTAGTGTATGGGCTTCTCCAAATGCATAAAACTTGCGTTATAACCTCTTTCTTTCTCTTCATCTTTCTATAAGTCTACTTATTCAGTAAATATATTCCCTTATTGGCATGTCCGATATAAATCCAACTTGATTTTCCAACATTGTTATTTCAAGTCTTAGCCACTGTCACTCTCTCCCAAGTTTTAGAGTATAGCTCATTAATTTAATACCGTGATAATTTATCCAACTTATCCTTAAGTTAATACATAGTTACCAAATTATTATTTTTCCCACAATAAGGTATCTTTTGAGGTATTATGATCTTATTAAACAATTTTGTTAGTCAAAATACACCATACACTATCATCCATTAAACAATTCAAAGCATTAATAGGAATACCATTAGGATGATAAAAATAGGAAGACATTTAAGATCATATGTCATTATGTTAGGTGCTATTTTAGGATATATTAACCATCTATGATTGCCCATTAATACATTGGCAATTTGCAATCGTGGTGACAAATGATTACAAATGTACTATATTTCTGCTCCAAAATTGCAGTAGCATTAAAAAGAAAAATTGAAGCCCACTCCTATGTTCTCATCCCTTGGAGTAAACTAAGCCTGCTTGGTTCAGTTTTCTAAAACTAGTTTTCAAAAAAAGGCAGTTCTATGAAAGTAAACCTTTTCTAATTGAGTTCTCTTAAAACAATTTTCAAAAACTGTCAACCAAATAGATTTTTGAACAATTCTCTGATTTTCAGTTCTCAAAAAACAGAAAATTGTTCTCATAAAACTAAACCAAGTCTTTCACACTTCTCAAACCAATACAGTAGTATGTCGTAAAACTCGTTGCCAAAATAACTTATCACAAGTGGTCTTGGCCTATAGTCAAGTTCCTCAAAGAATGTTATTTTCATAAAATTAGGCTGTCTTGTTATCGAACATGATTTCCTCTTTGGTGCATGTTATGATATTAGGCTTCTTGTCAATTTAAAGGTAGTGTTAGAAGACCGTTCAAAAAAAATGTTCGACACTTAAAAGCAACACTTGACCAAGATGAGGATGTTATGATGGATCAAAGATATAACTTACTATGAATGTATTTAGGAGGCATTATAGATTACACCAAGTTCACCAACAAAAAACAAGAAAGGTGACGGGAAGACAATTTTTGTTTTTCTTCTAGATGGATATGATATTGAGATCTTGTGCATCAAAATCCCAATAAATGGACTTGAACATGGGAGTGATTTGCATCAAGTTGAAAATTGCCAAGGATAAAAATAAGATCCGTCGAGGTGGCAATGGAAATGATTGCTCATGAGTTTGAGATTATCTGACTCTACATAAATTGATGATTCATGTTGCTAATCTTAAGTCGTTGGAATTATTTGTTTCAACAAAAATCATATGGTTAAAGGGTGTAAGAAAAGCCACTACGGAAGAGTTAAGTGTCATTGTATAACACAACACCCTCATTGATGCAACTTAACTTCCTTTATTTGATCGATTCATTTTACCTTAGAGCAAATTTGTAGGTTGATGAAATAACTCATTGACATGATCCAATTTTATTACGTCTGAAGGAAAATTCATCTTTAGTTAGGGCAAGTATTAATGTCCATCCTGGTCTTCTTGCCTAGTTGCCTTTTAGATTGCATTGTACGCATCTCATTACCTCTTATTCAATGATTGACAGGACTCAAATGGATTATGTCAATAACTCGGATCATCAGGATGACAATGCTGATGTGGTATGATTTGAACTTCAAAAGACATGAGCTAGTATTTGTGAGCACAGGGTAATGTGAATTCTTGATCTAACTCATCCTATACTCTGTTAAAGTACAGGCTTACATTTGGTAAAAATGAAATCGAAATGGTGCATAAATCTCCTGTTTATTATTAGGCGCCATTGGTAATACTTCTTATGAGTTATTCGAAAAATATGGTGAAAATTTCATTTACTGCAGAGGGTTAACATGTGAATGATAGCTGGACTTTGATTTCAACCACTCCACATTTCATCATTATTATCATTATTTTTTCATTGGCAAGAAACACACACCATTCACAAACCCAATTCGCCCCTTTGGGGACACGAACCCTCACCATCCACTTTGGAAGGTGGAGGAGATACCACTAGGCCACAAGGCCCGTGGTCTCATCTCATCATTATTATGTTGCACCATTCTTGGGTTTTGCACCTTAGCATTTATTTGGGCCTATTTCCTTGTCTATCTGAACACCAAATAAATAAATCATAATAAAATGAAACAAAGAAGGGCATTAACACAGTTCCATGATTCTATTGACTGGAATTTTCATTTGGAGGTGATTTTTGGTCCTTGAATAAAAAAAAGGTGATTTTTTAAACTCTTTAAACAAATTAAAAATAGATTGGAAAAAATAAATTTAAAATAGAAAATTATTGTGCAAATATATAAAATTGTATAAAAAAAACTTGATAGTTATTGGAAATGAATTTATTTAATGGTAACACCAATTGGAGATGGTTGAAGTAGCACCGATTAGAGATAAAATGAGAGAAGTTTCGAGATGTGCAAAGAAGACCATCAAGTGCGCCAATTAGGAAGAGTGACATAGTCCACGTTGTGGGTAATGCTAGGTTAAGGGAAGACCAAAATTTAACGTGGATAGAGTTAGCATGGGAGGATATGATAATATGTGGTTTGACTGAAGGTATGACTTAGATAGAGTGGAATGGAAAATTAAGATTTATGTAGCTGACTCCAAGCAGTTGAGGAAAAGGCTTTGTTTGTTGTTGTTGTCAAGGTTCCCATAACTACTTATTTGTTCCCAAAATTTTAATAGGAAATATTTTCTCGTAAACTTTCATGGTTTTCAAATCATGAAATGGTATTGTCCTATAGCTTTCATTTAAATTTTCGTCCTAAACTAATATATGCAAAAAAACTTGTTTTCCTTTCATTAACTACACTTCCTATTGCTTTCACTTTCCAACATTATTTTTTGTCCCAACCAACAGGACCCCCTAAAAGAACTCCATCTTGTATTCATTTATGAGGAGAAAATATGATAAATAAAGTGCATTGCGCGTTAATGCACCAGCATTTTTGTAATGCACATTAACCCACTTGAGAACTTGAATGAGAACGTGTTCCTTCTTGAAACACCAGTGTCCTATGAGATCGTTGCATTATGCATTAATGTTTTGATATGAAAATTTAAGTAGAAGTTGATTCGGATTTAATGGTGGTAACAAGCATAACAAGCATATGAACACTATGAGGTTTTCTTCTGAGTGTGAGATTTTCTTATGTGCTACTTGGGGTCTGGATAGGTGTTGCCTTTTCTGTTGTTAACAGGCCAAACACTTTTCATCCTTGGAAGTAAACACTCCAACCGCACCCCCTGAGCTTAGCGCTTGTTTTTCTCTTTTGCAACAAGAAGTTAAAAGTTGAAGATGGGATGGTTACTCCATGGATTATCATCATGGACCTTATGGTCAATTTTGGAATAGTGGCATCTGCAGAAAATTATGTATCAATAGTATCTTTGTTTTTCTAAAGGTGGCTGGGATCATTATTAATGGAAATCAGCTTTCTTTGGTTCTTGGTGAATGATAGGTTTGCCTATAGGCGATAGCTCATGTGCATGTGGAAGGAGATTTTGGTTTTGCCAGTAGTTGGATGGAGAATAGCAATTGTAGCCTTTGCTATATATGTTGAAGGATTTAAATATTAAAGTTACACCCTCTCTAATAGCTTAGCTTAAGCTTTTAGAGTAGATGGTTATTAACATGGTATCTGAGCCAAAGGTCTCGAGTTGAAACCTCACCGTTACCCTGAAGATTAAAATTGAAACATGTGTTGGACAAAAAAGGAGGCCACATGTGAGGGGCGTGTTGAAGGATTCGAATATCAAAGTTGCACCCCCTCTAATAGCTTAAAATTTTAGAGTAGATGGTTGTTGACAATATGGAGACTTCATATATTGCTTTTAAAGGATTGGACTCGTTGTAGATCCTTAGATTGAGCTATGAAGGATTTTAACATTTACTAGTTGGCTAGAAGGGAACTTATTTCGGAATCTTTATCGCCCACTCCCCCTCTTCCCCAACCAAGTTTTTGTTTCGGGTATTGCTATTTTTTTTTTCCCCTCTTTTTTCCTTATTTGCTTTCTTCCTTGCAAATAGATCTCATCTTCCTCCCTCCAACTCTACAAAGTCATTATAGCAAGTTGTTGCTCGTTAGTTAGATTGAAGGTGTTATAAATACCCTTGTTTAGCTAATGTCGAGCATAAAATAGTCTACTGCATTTGGCACTTGTTTTTCCAGTGATAGGTGCTGTCACTCTTAAAGAGACACTAAAACTCTAAAAATTATGGCCTTATTGCTATACGTGGCATATGGTTGAGGTGGGGGTAATCTGTACCTCTAATGTCTTTTTCTATAGGTGTTGACCCAATGACATTAAAATAACAGCGTGTTCAAATAAACTACATAAGCGAAATATTCAACAAATACGTAATGTATATTGATCTTATTAGTCAGATTAATCTTCAAAATGTATCTAATCTAGTACCATTGTTTGGACCAAAATGGAATTAATTAGAAATCAGTAATCTTATGTCAATCAGACGACTTATTAAAATTTGTCTGAAATAGTATTTAGTTTCGACAGTTCGCTGGAATCTTGGAACTCTGATGATCCATCAGTCTAATGTCACTAATAGGATTTGAGCATCAGCTGTTCCGTCAGACTAATGTCACTAATACGATTTGAGCATAAGCTGTTACAGGCATGATTGAACAGTTCCGAGGAGAACTATTAGATGCTGACAATCATGCCAGTTTTAGCAACGAAAATGGGAAATTGAAACATTTTTCTGATTAGAGTGATTAAGAGTGCTGCCCCTGAAATGTATCTTACCAGAAATCGCAGTTGTGGCAAGTCTGAAATCTCCCTGCTCCCACTGAAACACTTTTATCAGCTCCTTATTTAAGGGAGTCAATTTCAGAAGAAATTCCCAGGATAAAAGCCGCTCTGCTCATTCCGGAAATAATTCCACTTATATCGGAAAATGGGAAACTTAACTGCTTGATGATAGGAGTATTATCTAAACCATATAATTTTTGAACTTAGAAGGTTAACTTGCACCTTCCCTTTTCACCTGTCACATTTTGTGACGCTACGTGCCTGAACCTGCAGAATTCTCGTATTTCTCATCTGTCAAGATAAACGAACTATCTTTTAATGGAAATATTTGGAAACATTTGCAGTTCTCTGAAGCAAGCTTGCCTTAACATGTTTTGGTTTTTGAACTTCCTTTTCTATTCTGCAATCGTGAAAGAACGGTTAGATCATTACATATCTAATTCAAATGAGATCATATTTCAAGCAAGGTTACAAGAGCTTGACTTCTTGCGGGAATCTATTTCTCCCTTTTGCATTCGTATTATCCTGAAATGATCTCTAATGCTTATCAGCGATTGAAGTAAGAAATAAAAAGTGAGGTTCATATTCCGATCAGTGTTGAGACTGCACACAACTCATCTTGGTTGGAGTCTCCAAGTCTTTCCACCCACGTTCATTTGGGAGAGATGAGTATGCGTAAACAATAACCTGTCTGAATGCCTATGTTGTTCACAGTTTGATTTTTCAGACCAACTTTATAAGCTTGTCTTGGCCATCAACGACAGACATTTCACATAAAATAATATAAATTGAATATATATATTATATATATAATCAAGTGTGAGGAAAAGATTGTTTTTTGCTGTAGTAGCACAGCATGTTCAAGAGTCTTTGGAATGATAAGTGGTGATAAGAAGAAATTGGTTTGGTCTTATCCTTGAATCCTTCACCCAGAGTTTTCCTAAGATGTACATTTTCTTTTCTTTCTTAAAATTTTTATTTGTGATGCACATTATGACATTTATTAAATGCACGACACGCATTGTCAATGGGTAAACAAATGAACAAAGCCAAGCTTAAGCTTGAGATTGTTCAAGGTGAGCTTGTTCATTCACGGGGTTTGCTTGGGTTTGACTCGAGCTTAGAAAATTGAACTTGAGCTCAGCGATTGCGAGACATAACTCTTGAATTCATGAAACATATATTTTTTAAATTATAAATTTTCGTAATTTTTATTTTCTATTACATTCTTTATCAATAAATAGGTATGAAACTTGTAAAAATTATAAAAATGAAATAATAATAATAATAATAATAAATAAATAAATGAATGAATAAATAAAATAAAATAAAATAAAAACTGTAATGTATATTGAATAGTCGATCCAATACAAATCGTTAACAGGAATCACATATATCACTGTATACAAGCTGTATGCATCTATACAAGCCGAGCCTAGTTGAGCGGTTTTCGATCTTGTCTCATTTTAAGAGATGAATTCGAATAACAAGATCGAGTGTGACTCGTTAGACGAATAAATGAACACGAACTAAGCTTTAAAATAGTTAAGTTCGAGCTGTTTATGAATAGCTTAGTTCATTTGTAGCCCTAATAATCAATATCCATTTATTTGACTTCATAAGAATGATGGTACAACATTTGGAAGAATTCTTTTTCTTTATTTTTGGCTAGGTAAGGCTCAGGCATACTTTAACAATTACTCCTTAGTAAGGACTTGAAATGACACACCCTTAAATTTAAATACCTAAATTTTGTTCCCAACTGCAAATGCAATCGTAAATCCAGGCACAACATCTTTAATAAAATTGTAATACCAACTACTTCCTCTGTCCCAAAATAAATGTCCTGTTTTGGGTACCATGACCCACAACGGTTCTC